AATATATATATATATATATATATATATATTGGATTATAGAATTTGTCTGTTACTGTTCATACTGTTTATCAGTTATTTCAGATTATGTGGTGGATACTGTACGATGAAGTAACGAACGATTGGATAACTATGTTATTCAAGCAGTATGAATTTTTTGTGACATGTAATTACGTTGAAACGAAGAATATTGGATAGCTATCATATATAACCATGATATATCTACTGTGATATAAATACTTGTAGCATATAAACTTTGCAACTGTGCTATGAAGCGAAGAATAATGAATAATTAACAAAGAAATTGAAATACTGATAATGATATTACCTTACCGTATACGTATTGCTAAATCAGGTGACTAAATAATGATTGACCATATTGCATATTAAAATGAAATCGAACACTTATGCAATTAAAATTTTCTGATCTTTTCGTATTTTTAAATAATTACATTATCAATTTATTTAATCAATTGATTAACAGTGATGACAGTGATTTTCTGTAGGAATATATATATTTTATATTTTATTTCTTGGAAATATAATTGCAATCGCAATCTAATCTAATCGCTCCTCTTGTATTGAATATATCAAAAGACACTTTTTTCTTTATCGAATAAATTCTAAACTCGTTTCTGAATTAGCATACATCGTTCAATATCATCATCGTTATTATAATTATGACATCATTCAATATTATTATAACTTATTCAATACCGTGGCCAAGAACTGTCCAAGCTTGGCCATGTAAACAAAGCAAGAGTGGCAAACAAAGCTTAGAAATTCGGAACTGAAATTGAACTCTAATTCATATTACCTCTCAGACAACGTTCCAATTCAATTTTGACCAACACGAAGAAACCTAACAACCACACGTGGAAACCTTCGAGCATTAATAAATTAAACCTATTTAATGCTATTTCCAGAACTAAAAAAGGAAAAAGAGAAAGACTGGAATTACGTAATACACACGATTGAAACAATTTAGAAAGCCTAATTAATCCGAGCAATCATCACGAGTCACAAAGAAGTATTTGAATGTTTATCAGGTGTTGGAGAACGTAAGCTATCGGAGCGACAGATAAGCTCGCGGAAAATATGCGAAGATTCTTATCATTCCGACATAACGCGAATAATCAGGTGACTGAACTTTACGGGTCAGTTTCATTCAAAGCTTGCCAAAAAATTTGACCGGTCTGTGCCAACTGGCCGTGCCGATTCCTCGAGCCTTGCCTCTTCCTGCCTTTTGGATCTTGGACCAACGAATCATTGGAGGACATTATCCAATTCTTATCTCTAATTTATTCTTCGATGATTAACAGACTCCTCGTGAACCCAATTTCTTTACAATTCTTCGTCGTTGTTGTTAGAGTAATCGTAGTTTTCGAGAAGCTGCGATGCGAAAGCGAAAATATAAAAAGTTGAGAAAAATCTAAGGAAGAAAAGAATTTCACTGACCTGTCAAAACGTTGTGATGCTTGACCGATATATTTTAAAGAACAATCGATTGACAAAGGTTAGGAAATAGTTCAAGGATCTTGTCAAACACAATCCAACTAACTTAATCTCTCCACGATGCTTTCAAAGCATCCCCAAGAAATCTCATCCTAAATCCACACAGACCTGACCTGTTCTGTCAGAAGAAAATCGCCGGAACTTCATTCGCGTATTTTTTTTTTTTTTTACCATCGTTCAAAATATGAATAGAAACGGGATAATGGTTGATAAATTTCAAATTAGCGATAGAGAGTGATAATATACTCACTTGAGAGGCGGCATCCACGAGGAAAGTGGCGGCAACGAGCATCAGCAACAGCAGACAGCCCCTCGGCAAGGTAGAGTCCCTCATGATGAGGACCTGTTCGTCCCAGTTCTTCTCCTATCGTGCCCACTCGCGTTGCTCTATCTTCTCTGTGCACTTGGATCGTTGGTTGGGAAACCTTCTCGTCAACGCATGACGAGTGGAGTGGAAACGCGCGACCGGTCCCCCTTTCCAAGGCCACTTTGAAATCTTCGGACCTTCACGAGCCGACTCGACGAGGAGGAGGAGGAGGAGGAGGGCCACCAGCCACGGGGAGTTTGGACGTACGAAACTTGGCCTCGAGTCGGCAAACGCGGGACACGCAGGGACCGTACAACAGCGCACCGGTGTTCGGTAGCGTCTGAAAGGCCGAGCGCGCCGGCAAGATAAAACTTTTTCAAAAGCCCGGCGCTTTTCCCTCACCCCGCCGGATCGCCGACAGATTCAGCTGCGTTCCCTTGCGCTCCGACACTCTGTCTCTCACCCGCAGACTTCCTCTTTCTCCTCTTGCTCTCACTCTGTCTCTGTCACAGTTTCCCTCTCCCGCTAGGCCGTCCACCTACTCCCTCTCGCTTCCGCCCACTTTCGCGCCCCTAACGCCGTCCTTGTCTAACCGTGCGCGTTCCGTGGTCTACCCCCACCACCGCCGAACCCACGGCCCTCCCCCTCCCCTCCTGTTGACTCCTTTGGTCCGTCTTTCTCCGTCGCGCTCCCCCCACCGAAACCGTCTTTCTCTGGATACCCCCCACCCAGCGATATTTCGCGAGGATCCGTTGTCTTTCTCGTTCCGCGTGCTACGTACGTGCTATCGTCTCTCTCCTACACGCTGCTCTTTCTCTATACACGTAGAGAATGGGGAGAAGTAAGTTGTTCCTCCAACATCCCTTCCACGATTCACAATCGTTCCATGCTCGCGCGAGGCGACCGGGGACCAAAAGTGGATGTACATGTACGCGGGTTCTTTTAATGAGATTAAATTGCAGGTCCTGGATACGCCAAAAGTTCTTTTTTTTTTTTTAGAATTCGATGGAATATTAAGATATTCTTGAAATTGAATCATAATCCGAAAGCGTGTGAACAATCTTAAAACAAGATAAGGTATCGTTCGTTTTTCCCAATCGTAGATGTCTTTAAAAAGTAATTTTTAAAAAATCCTAATTTTTAAAGTGTATTTCGTTCCTCGTGATATCGATCTTTCCAATTTTTTTTCTAATTCAATCTAGGTTATCCGGTTGAAAATTCACGAGAAAACAAATCGAATGGCCATCAGCGGCGACGAGTCGTTCCGGAAAGGAAAAAGAAGATAAAAAAGAAGGGGGGAAAAAAAAAAAGAAAAAGAAGAACCGCGTGCGTTCGCCAACGCGTATATTCCTTCCTTGTTTCACCCGACATAACCTCTTCGTTCAACCGGAGGATCTGTTGCGCTCAGCAACAGATGCGAGGGTGATCTTTTTTAAACGGGTCAACCTCGCCTCACGCGTATCCACTCGCATTTTCTCCAACGAGAAGCGAGACTCGTGGACCTGGACTCATATAGAGTAATATATATATATAACAGTCAATTGATTATAGTCAGATTAATTCGTGATACATAACCTACCATAACTAATGATCAACAAATTATATAATATAGAATGATCAACTTTAAAATTCGATCTAGAATATATTTAAGTTGAGTACAAATAAGAATAGACAATTAATTAAATGTCATTGTCTTTGTTTAAAATTTAAAAGAAGAAAAAAATCACATTTTTTTGGTAGTCTAAGATATTCATTTAAAATTTTAATAGTTTTTCGAGTTTTTCATACTGTTCGATTTTCTTGTTTGAAAAATATATCCCATTATATAGATATCCTATTTTCAGCTAATCTAACTACTTTTATGAAATATTTTATACGCTAGACAACGATTTCACAGAACAATATCTTTCAATCTAACTAGGAAATATGATTAATAAAAGATTTCTAGATAAAAGGAGAACTCTCATCATCGAAGGAAAAAATATATATTATTTCAAGGAAAGAGTTGGAAATCAAAGAAATGCGATGCGTCAATTAGAAAAGCACATGTTGATAAATGAAGGAAAGTATTCTCTTGATCTTTAAAGATACGTGAAAAAAATGAAGGAGAATATCCGTCGTGGTTATAAACTTAACCGGTACGAGGCAAAAATGTCCAAATAAATTTCCTAAAAACAAAGCAAACTTGTCGACGATTTATAGTCTGACAGCTGAATTCCTCGATTGCGTGTGCCCTTCGGCAGTTTTTAGACAGTGGCTCGAATTTTTTTTCTTTTTATTTGATCGAAAGATCAGTTATTTTCAGTTGTTTATCTATAACTCTTCTGCTTCAGCATCTACTTTATCTTTTTTTCCTTTCTTCTTTTTAAACAACCATCGAATGAATAATTAACACCATATCCGATAACTTACGTATATTAAACTATATTTAGATTACACGTGAAACATTATTATTGGAATATATTAGATTAGAATTTAAATAGAATTGAATAGATTTTCAGAGAAATAGGTGTATTAATATACTGATAAATTAACTTGCATTTACTATTATTTATATTGAATCATAGTTTAAATAAGCCAGTATTAAATCATGCTTGAATCATACTTTTAATCAAATAAATTTAATCATATTATTGAAAAATCGTAATAATTGTTGAGATATTATTATGAAAATGAATAATTCAAAGATTCCTGAAAATAATATTTTAAATAATTAAACATATAATATATTCAAAGATTTTTTATTGCTATGATCTATAATAATATTCAATAAATGTATACGAATCTGTATTAGCATATATGTACAAATATATTATATTGATAATATATTTAATACCTGTTAATCTAATCAACTTATCATTTTAATTAACTTTGCGAATCAATGGCAACAAAATATAAATATTTATTGCAATTTTGCTGTCGGTAAAAAAGTTAAATTTAAGTAATTAATTTAAGTTTAAAAGAGTTACAGCACGTCCTTATTTAATATCAGTTTTTAAAAAAACGTGAAAATTTCCTCATAATTTTATTTCTAAAAAAAATTTATATCTATCTTATCATTATTTATGATATATTTATTTTATCATCAATCGATATATAAATTATTAGAAGTTGTTAAAGTTATATTCTGAAATACCGACCTCAAAAAAAAATTATAAGCGTTCTTTACTTTTAATATGATATAAATTTTATTCATACAACTATTATTGATTCTAAAACAATGAATTGAACTTTCACAAATAGTTAAAATAAATAAATAATATGCAAAATATTAATAGTTCAATTATTATTTTTAATGAAAAATTTTTAAATGACATTATAATTATAATAACTTTAAATAATGCAATGTAATAATGTTCAATTACTATTATACAACTTATTGCATTAGTTGTATCCAGAGATACGAATGCATTATTATAATCTCAATGGAAAGTCATGTTATAAACGCAACACTAAAACGCGATTATTTATCAATGCAAAACTAATTCTAAATTAAAGAATGAATTTAACATATTATTTTATAAATAAAATATAAATAAATAATTCAAACATTTCAATATAATATAACATTCATAATATTATTGCGATTTAAACGCGATCATCATTTTATCATAATTAAAAAAATTAAGTTCTTTTTATTCAACTCTAACCCAAAATGCAAGAGATTAGATTATTTCGCAATTTTAATTCAAATCATAATTAATTTTCGCAGCATTAATAAAAAAAAATCGCGATTTGCGATATCTATCGCATGTGATATCATTGAATGATAGGCCGACAAGTATATCGGCTGATAAGTCTTCTACTACTACTACTACCATTACTACTACTACTACCATTACTACTACTACTACTACTACTACTACTACTACTACTACTACGTATTAATACTACTACTATTGCCATTGTTACTTTTAAAAACGTGACAAAATAACAAACAAAAATAATTCCCCATTCTCTATAAAAAAAAAAAAAATTCAAAAAACAAGAAGTCATTCGTGCCCTATTCATGGCAATTTATCTTTTTCTAGCACAATGTTTGCTGAAACTAAAATCTAAACTTGATTTTTCTAATCGCAAATAAAAAAAAGAAAGTAACAAAGGAAGTTAATAATGAATATAATGATCCGCACATCTGCAAAATCTCGAGCACAACGCTTGTTTTAAGATTTCTAGAGACCGCGAAAATTCGAAAAATCGATAGGTAAAGGCAGAAACGAATGACATTCTTCATTCTCGTTCCAAATGTAAATGTTCCAGCTTTACACTCGATTCTTCAAATTTTATTTCCAGAAGCAAGTTGTCATGCAAAAATGCCCTATACCCGACTGTGACAATCTGCCCGGTCTTACCTATTTATAATTAGCAGACATACCAGAAAATATATTACCTGGCAAAACAAGCACACCAACACGTTCACTCCACGCTTCTTGTGTATGACACTCGGACGCAAAAGCCTACATTAGGGAAAACGTCCCGGGACAGCCGAGCTTGGCAAACATCTCGCATATTCTAACTTTACGTACCATTTTCCTGAAATCGACCGACGATGGTTAGAAATTTATTGCGTAAAAGGCGATAAAAATAGTTTTAACTCAATTAATTAATTAGACATCTAACAAATTAATGTTTTTCAATTCAATCTTTGTCAATAAATATACTTTATGAATTTAATGAATTATTAGTAGTTTTAATAAAGAAAAATATGTAAAAAGGAAGAAATTTATGTATAATAATTAATAATTTCATTTATAATAATTAATAATAAAAAAAATAATCAATCCTTAATGTTTATAATTTAATTATTTATAAAAATATAACATTATTTCTTCAGCACATTTTCGAAAATGCAAAAGCAATATTTAAACTTGTTATTTTGATTTATTTGTCGCAAAATATGTTCTTACATTTATTATATTAAAATTTAATATATTTTTATATAGAGGAAATAGAATTAATATCTTAATATTTCAAATTATAATATAATTGATATTAATTATTATATTTAATTATATTGAGTTATATAATATAATCAAAATCAAATTAATAAATAATTATTAACTTTTGAAAATATTCATATATTCACTATATTTTGATTTTGAAAATAATTTTAATTATGATTATTTATGATGATTATTTAATTATACTCAAATGAATTATCAATATTATATAATTTGATAATATTAATTATTAATTTTATTTGATACAACTTAATTATATTAAAACTTTATTATTTAATATAAAATTAATCGTTAATATCATTTCCTCAAAAATCTATTTGTGCAAACCTATCCAGATCTAACACAAAGATCCAACATAAAATATAAAAAAAAGAAATATTATTATGTTAAATATACCTGCGATCATTATGCTCGTATAAAATTCTATATATATAATCAATCACTCATATCGATTCAGATTTTTCGTCCTACGAGCATATAATTATAAGTGAACAGAGAAACAAATATATGCAATTCATCATGGGAACGTTGCCATTATTAATGCTGTATAGTTTTTCAAAAAGCCATTGTAAAAATTGAAAAATATCTGTAACAAAACATAGAATGTGATAATTTAAAATATGCATTATTGAAAAAATTGAAATAATAAAAAATAAAATTTTTTTAGATTTATAATATTAATAATAATATTAATATAGTTTATTAGAATTTTAATTATAATTTTATTAAAAATAAAAAAAAATATCTAGAGACAAAATTTAAATAGAATAAAATATAATTATCTCTTCACATGATAGATGTTTATTTTTATATTTTTTGATGATTGACTCTAATATATATTGAAAACGAATATTTTAAAAAATAAAAAAAAGGAAAATAAAAAATGTATTGATATGTATCCATTTAAATCGGATAATAAAAAAATATTTTAAAAAAACTATTACACAGCAAACATTGATTCTATTGCGTATAATCATTAATATTTTTATTTTTTTTTTTTTTTTAGATTAAAATTGCTATTGGACAATAAAATAATTTAATTTGAAATAAGAGAATAATTAAACTAAAAAAATAAATATAAGTATACAAATAAGTTAATTTTTTCTATTTTCATTCTAAGATTTTCAATACGAATAATTCTATTATGAATTACAATACTTGATACAATTACAATTAATACTAATTAATAAAAATAAAATAAAAATAAAGAATGAATACGTACAATACAAAATATCAAATTTCATTACTTCTTTATGAAATAGAATAATAACATTTATATTGATATTTTCATTTATATTGAAACTCTCTTCGAAATTATCTCAACAATCAGCAACAATCTGTACAAAAAAATCAGGATTTTTAAAATATCTAAAATTACATATAATAAAAAGAAAAAAAATTAATTTAGATCTTAAAATATTAGGAATTATAATAAAAAATACATAATAGTAATATAATATACGAACAATAAGAAATATTTATGAAAATATATAAATATTTAATATATTATTTTAATATATTATGTGACGAATTCTTTACTCACTTCACACATCACTTTAAAAAAGATGTCTAAATACCATAATTATCGATAATAAAGCATCACGCAATTTCGATTATCGAATCACAAAATCGATTATCGCAAACTAAAGGAAGATATGTTCAATCATTCGATAATAAATCGAACGTGCAAGAGCATAAATTAATTTTTTGGGAAGTTCATATTACAAGAAATTTTTTCATTCTTAGGCATGAATTAAATGAAAAAAAGAGAAAATATATAAACAACTTAAATAGATGCACTTAGAAAAAAATATCTATTAAATAATATAATAATAATATAATTTGAAATGAAATATAAAATTAATTAATATATACTTTTCATTGATTAATAATGAATTGATTACAGTACGTTTTTTTTATACGAATAAAAAGATGATCAAAATATATCTATTTTCAATAATTTTCTAAAAAAAAATAAAACGTTATCGGATTAAAAAGTCATTAGCTATAAATCTTTGTGGCATATGCTATAAATTATTATTCTTTTGAAATCATCTCAACGTAATTGAACAATTTGCACAAATAAAAATCAAAATTATAAAACAAATGTATGTAATTAAAATTATATAATAAAATGATATTACAATAATTAGATATAAATCATAATTCAAAAATTAAATATAAACTATCGATAATCTTAATAGTTAAATAAACAAATAAAGAAAAAAAGATTAATTAATTTATAATGTTTAATGAATTATTAAATAATTGAAGCCATCAATAACTTATTAACTAATAATTTATAAATTCAATAATAAAATATATGAAATTACTTACTACGCAATCACATATATACTTCGTAATATGAACTGTCATATAATTTTCGGGAGAAGAATAATACATCGTGCTTATAGGTTCGTTTAGAAGCTTTCTAATTGGTTCGAGCAATATAATTTCTTATTTCTTTTCTTGTTCTTACTCGTGCGAAAAATTAAAATATTGTATTTAATTTAATTTATTATTAATTAATTCTTAATTGTAGATTTTTATTTTAAAAAATCTAAATTTCATAAAGATTATTAAAAATAAAAACATGAATTATACAATTTATTTAATATAAAGATTAATCAAAATATCAGATGTTATTAAAAATGGAATTTAATCATTTCAGAATTCAAGAATCTTGCATATTAGTGATTATATAATTAAAAACGTTACAGCATTTCTCAATATTTTTTAAATTAATGATTCAACTAAGTTAATTAAAAAATCAATCAAAAAAATAAAAAATTAATTTTTTAAAAAATATAAAGAATTGAACGCTTGGCAAATATCAAGAGTTCAAAAAAGACATATTTAAAATGTTTATTGTATCATCTGTAAATAGTATTTTGTACAGATTTATTGTTTAAGAATTAACATATGAATAAATAGTTTAAATATGTAATTCTTTTTTTACTTTGTTTCTTCATGTATGATACAAAATTAAGTTTTAATTACATAAAATGTTGTTTTTCGCTTAGATAATTATAAAATGCGCATGTTGAAATGATAATAGGATTTCATATCTATAATACAAATACATCTGTATTTGTAGTTTCTTATGTAAGATAAATTATATAGAATAATTTGTGGGCAATTATTTTGTTCATTGCAAAATAGTCTTTTAAATATTTACACTGATAGTGCAAGAACAGAACCCATTGTTTCATTTTAAAATATTATTCGATTAATCTTTAGAAAATATTAAGACACAATTTTTTAATTGATTTCAACAAATGCTATACAAGAAACATAGTTTTCTGAATCTAATATTGATTAATTTCATACAATTTACTTATATGTATATATATATGACTTATATTAATAGTACGGAAAGATGTGTTATACACTTTGGCATGATTATTTTTTACAATTTGTTTTTGAAGCTAAAACAATATAGAGCAGTCAGTCTCGGAGAATAGGAAAGTATTTAATTATCATATTTTGTCAGTCTTTTCCTCATGATTAATTATTAAATTTATTAAATAAATACATTCTCCACAAACATTTAATAATAAAATGATGTAGGAGTAATTTTTTGTATATAAAGTTTCTTTCTTTCTTTTATTCTTAATCTTCTTTGCATAAGAATATTTTTAAGAAATCGTTAATTCACTTTGTAAACATAAAACAGCCGTGAGATAGGTAACATCTTCATAATCAAATGTTATATTTTTTTCTTTTCTTTTCCTTTTTGAACTTGATCAAAATTGGACTATCTTTGTTGAAGGAACATCTTGTACATGGCAGGCTATTGAACGTGTTGTTCTTTTTGACTAATTCCACTAATTGTCTATACCTCGCTTGGCATTCATCCTTCGAAATATAATATCGATTATAAATTAACTTATTGATAAAAATTATAAAATATTCATACATCATACCTTGCTTTTTCCTTCAACGCAATTTGCGATTTTCTCCCATCTATCTGTAGATATGCCTTTTAGGATATTTTATAAGGGCTGCTTCTAGAGCTCTTTGTTGTTCTTGACTCCATTCGCTAGTATTATCCACAATCTCCGCACGAGTCTTCGTCTTTTTTGAACGTTCTTCTATTATTGTTTCTTCTACGGACGTACCAGGTTTCAATCCTTCATCTTTTATCTAGTGAAAATAAAAAAAATTATTATTAAGATTAAAATTAAAATCTTAGGACAGATTAAAAATTAACCTTTTTTGCCATATGTGTAACTTCGAAAACTGTACGATTCATCGCATCCGCGATTTTATCCCATCTTTCTGATGTACCACTAGGATATTTTTTTACGAGTTTTATTAATTCTAATATATCATCATCAGTCCATAATCCCCCAGAAAAAGCAGGTTTTTTGATAAATATGATTTGTTTGGTCTTTTTTGAATAATTCTTTGACATCATTACCACTTCTTTCTTGTGGAGTGAAACCAGTTCTGCGTTTTCTTGTGCGGGACGTAAATTCTGGTTCCAATTGTTCATTCTCTTGTATTCTAAAATTGTATAAAAATTCTAAGCATATCCAATAAGAAAAAAATATTTATCAATGAAAAATAAATTTCATTTAGAACAAATATTTCACTCACAATGTTTCTTCTTCTTCTTGTTTTTTTCTACGTTTCCTTTCTTCTAACACACCATACATTACGCGCACAATATCAGGTATAGATAGTGTGAAAGCTATTATCCATCTTGGAAATTGAAATGGAAGAGTATTCCAAATAGTTGGTGTAGGAATTTTTTCCAAAATATCTGCTAAATCTGGTACATCCATTTTTCCCTTTTTATTCTTTTTTTGCATTTTTTTGAAGTTTACTACCTAAAACTTGTTCCTATAACATATGTTATAATTAATTAATAAAAACTTAATTTCTATCACTTTTAGTAATTGTTTTACATACATATGTATATCTTTTTTCAAAATAAGCAGCCCATGCAACTACATATTGTCCGATCGTAATGAGTAAAAATAAAATTATTCCTAATTCTAAAAGTCCCATTTTCCGTACATGACGATAATAATATACAGCTGATCGCCAATTTGGCAATCCATTAATAAGCACATTGTCGTATCTCTGACGTTTTCCTGGATCTTTCAATATATCATATACAGCAACTAACTGAAAATGAAATTTACTATTTCTATGGAATTTGTTTTATGATTATGATAATATATGACTTACTTTTCTAAATTGCTGCTCTGCATCTTCTGCAGAATTTTTATCTGGATGTAATTGTAACGATAATCGTCTAAAAGCTTTTTTAATCTCTGAAGCATTAGCAGCCTAAAAAATTAATTCATCAGTCATTCTTTTTTATACAGGAAAATTAATTACATAAATAAAAGCAATCAGAAAAGAAAAAACCTGTGGGACACCAAGAATTTCGTAAAAATTTTGGTTGACTTCCTCGACAACATCAAATACTTCCAATTCATCATTATCCCAAGCATTTATGACTCCATATACATTGAAAAAATATAAAATTCGAAAAATTAGTAGTAATGACACTCTCATTTTTTTTTATATGCTAAGTATATACATTCATATCCGTTTAGAAAATTTTGCTTTTTGATTTAAACACGTTCGTTGCTGAAACGCTATACTATGACCATTTCACTCAAATTAAATCAATCTTCTATAAAGCAAATTGAATATGTTAATCTTCTAAGTGCCACATCGCAAATTCAAATGAGGTTAGATTCAGAAAACGTAGGCCGTGTGTATTAAACGTGTTAACGATATAGAAAAAATAGAATTTATACTTGTATTAGTATATCTGTTGCACTGACTTAAAGCACTATTTTCAAATCACGATACGAATTTTATGATCACCGATCTATCGACTAAGGATTATCTACAAAAAATTTTCTTTAATATTTTAAATTATATTGATCATTTAAGAATTTCATGTTAAAACAAAATTATATATAATTTTTTACGTAACCTTGTATAATTCTTTCAATTGTTAACATTAAATATAAAATTTGTATTAATTTAATTAGATAAAGATATATATATGTGTATACATATAAAAAAAATAAATTATATAATATATAATTTATTAAATATTTTTATGAAAAAGATTATTTGATATGATCATATTTTATTTATAAATCTAAACAATTAAAATTAAATTTAAAAAGTACACGATTACGATTCGTAAAGGACTGTATTTCCGATATAGCAAGTATAGTGTTACAAATATGATACATAGATGACTCCACTAATTTTGGTTATTCGAGGCGCGGCGCACAGTGTGCTTTTGCATTCGCATGTATCACCGTCCAGGCTATTCGATCGAAAAATGTGTCTTCCGCTATATTTAAGTGCGATTACACGCACTGTTTTTACAAGCTTTCGCCTATAGGAGGTACAAGGTTAACTGTTGAATCGCGTAAGCGTAATTCGGACCGGTAATTGGAAAATTCCATAGACTCGTGGGTCAACTAAACGGAAACCGCATCGTTAATTCTCTGGCCACAGATGGTCATCGTGGCGAACTCATCCGATTTCCATTGATTGTATTTATAGTGTCCTCCAGTTTATTTTTGCATGCGGTTCCTTTGAGAAAAAGATGCGCCTATCCACTGGCTGACAGTTTTTCTCGCATTGTAAGTCCTTTTAACCATAAGATTATAAAATTAAGAAAATTTTTGAAAAAAGAAATTAAAAGAAAAAGAAAGAAGAAAAAGATGATTGACGACTATAGTAAGGTCTTATTTGCATGTGTTTGGTCTGACGTGATGTGTGGGTGTGCAAGTCTATTTAATATATTTTGTTGAATGTGCAATTCGATTGCTAGCCTCTTTATTTCGTTTGTATTATAAATTCATAATCGTGTATGTCGTTCATGTCGTCATTGTCAATTATATCGACAAATGCGAATTTTTATGGACGAATCGTTAAACGCGTTATGGTATAACAAAAATGAATCGAATAAATACATAATTAGACTGTACCATGAAGATGTTATTCTTAGCATGAAAACGTTGTAACGTTAGAACTACGAAAGACCATTTTTACCTGTGCTAGATTCTTTTTTATATTTCTATTTCAAATATATCTTCACATGCTATCTATGTCAATTTACAACTTTTAAAAAGTACGAAGTTTCTTTCACATTTACAATTAAAATATTTTAATTTTCCATTATTAATATTCATTATTTCTTGATGAAATGATAATTTTCCATTTGTGTCATTATCTACATATAAAGTATTTTTGTTGCATAATGTATAATTATCAGCAATTCAGAATGCAATTAAGTTGCATTGTAATGGTTGAAATATTATCATAATATGTATCATAAACAAGTTTTTATATAATTTATCACAAATAAGTTTTTATATAATGTTTTAACATTAATGCTTTATTTATGTCTAGTCAAGTAGCAAACATTATTTTTCTATTTGTATAATACATCCAATCATCATGCCTATATTAATCATGCTTTAAATCATGCTCACATTTTTAGCTCTACCATATTGTCCCTATGTCCTTTAGTATGGTGGTTTCTCTTCTTATACGGTGAAGGAGCCGGATCTGCCTAACTCAAGTTCTGGATACAAGCAAAATATAAATATTATAACATTGAATACAAAATGGAGTCTGCTATAGCTGGACGTAGGCGGACAACCGCAAGACATTCAGCAGAAGATCAAGCTCTTGATCAGATAGCTAAAGAGGTATGACTTGATTACTTTATAAGAATGTAATAAAATGGAGTTGATAAGAAAAATAATATTAAAATATCTAAGTTTTGCATAGTTTACGAATTGTATGTTACCTAACAAAAACAAAAATATGTTAATATGTGTTGCTATAAGTGTGCTTGACCTTCAGTATTTATATGTGTGCATGACTAGTAAGTGGGGATTTATATCTTTTTTGATAACTTTATCTTTAAAAGAGAATGTATAAAGGAAATTATTAAATAGGTGAGAAACAAATGTGTATATTGTATTTCACAATTATTAATCTGTATTTTATCTTAATATTTTATCTTTTGATTAAAACTAAATATAAAGTAAGTATTTGTTGATCCAAATTGATATTCCAGTATGTTATTTTCATATAAAGTTTAATAATATTATTTATCTAATACACTTATGACAGTGCTTCTATATCATGTGTCAATGTGTTAATAATAAATTGAATGTAAAACTATGTTTTTGGTAACAGGATGGATTTTCCATACATACTTTCAGGCAGAAGCTAGATTAGCTGCTAGAAGACAGGCAAGAGCAGAAGCTAGAGAAATACGAATGCGAGAATTAGAAAGACAACAGAAAGAGGCAGAGGAAAATGCAGATAGGGTATACGATATGTGTTCAGGTATTTCTTTAAAAGATTAATGCTAAAAAAAATTTTGTAGTGCAATAAAATATTTCATTTCTAATTTTTCAGCCGATGTGAATAGAACAATGAGAGTAACTCCTGATTCTGTAAGAACATCACGACTTCTTACGAATTCTAATAATTTTCAATCCAGTCGTAGATCTTCTGAAGATTCACTGGAAGATGCTGGCCTAAGTAGAGATCTTAGGGTATTTACATCTTTTTCTTTTCTTATAATATAATTGATAATTAAAACAAATTATATATTTATTCAAATATATAAATGTTCTTCGAATTTTTACTTTGCAGTTAGAATTAAAAGAATTTGAAGAAAAATTTAGAAAAGCAATGATAGCTAATGCTCAGTTAGACAATGAAAAATCTTCATATGCTTATCAAGTTGATCTATTGAAAGATAAATTGGAGGAATTGGAAGAAACAGTTGCACAACTTCGTAGAGAGCTTAGAGAAAAGAATCGGGAGTCTGAACAATTGAAAAGACTTAGTCAAACATTGAAAGATGAGTTAGATGTATGCCATGCACAACTAATAGAAAGAGATACGCTTATACAAGTAAGTAAATAGAAAAATCACATTAATAAATATATTCGTTTTATTTTTATAATTAAAATATAAAATTATATCAGGAAAATGGTCTAGTTATTATTGATGATGAAGGAAGTGAAAATGAAGATAATGATATTGAGAATGGCTCACATCCTAGACGAAGAGTACTAGTCAGTACAGAAGCAGCAGAATTATTGCAAAATGCTGGGAAAGGTTCATTAGGTATATAATTATAAAAAATAAATCAATCTTTTCAAAAAAAAATATATTAACATAATAATTCGCATGTATTTCGTAATAAATTATAGATGTCCGACTGAGAAAATTTGCTTCCGAAAAAAAAGAATTGCAAGACGAGATACGACATCTAAGATTGGAATTAGAAGAAACAAGAAATCGTATTAGGTCCGAAAGATCGCCTGGTTCAGTATTAGGTTCGTATTTTTAAGATATATTATTTTTATAAAAATTTTCTTATATTTTAAATATGATAACATAATATTTAATATTTTAAAATTAATATAATATTTTTCTAGGCTGTTTATCAGATTCTGAAGATGTGCAACGAGAAGCAAACAAGCTTTTAGCAGATTATAAATTTAAGCTCCAAAAAGCTGAACAAGACATGTCTACTTTACAAGCTACCGTAGCCAGGCTAGAAAGTCAAGTAATACGTTATAAGTCGGCGGCAGAAGCATCTGAAAAAGCGGAAGATGAATTAAAAGTTGAAAAGAGAAAATTACAAAGAGAAGTAAGAAATTTTATTCAATATCTTTAACTTGAATATTCTCGTTTAATAAAATAAACGAGAAATTTTTGTTATAGGTTAGAGAGACTCAAGGGCGTGTAGAAGAATTGGAAACGGCAAATTCTCATTTACAAAGGCGATTAGACAAACTTAAAAATGCAAAATCTGCTCTATTAAAGGAGCTTTGACGAGATGATTTCTTGGGATCTATACAATGAGTCTGCCATTTCGATTCACTGAGAACCGTGTGCCTCATAACACGAGATACTACTTAACGCATTGCATAATTTATGCGAACGGAACACGTACATATAGTGATCGTTACGCGGATTTTATGATTTTAATTGATTTTATTTGTACAATATTGCATACAAGTATGACATTCCAAAATGGCCACTATTGTACAATGGTCTTTTGGAATTTTATACTTGAATTAATTATATACTAAACTGCTGTGAAAGGAAATCGCTGTTTTATATTCAACACATTTTTTCTTTCATTAATTTTTTTCTTTTTTTTCTTTTTTGGTACTAACAATTATCTTGCAAATTTTAAAGAAAAAGAAGGAAAAGGAAAAAAGAAAAAGAAATAACAGCCTTTTCGATGCATTTGAAATACCGAATATTTTTTCGTGAATTTTGTAAACAGTTATGGAGTCGATTCGTAATATATTATTTGAAGGGAAAAATATTCTGACTCGTGTATTATAAATAGAATTCAATATTCTTTCTGTCTTTATTTTTTGAGGCACAATCTTTCATATTACTTCAGTTTTTTGCTCATTAGAGCAACATTGATAATAATTAAAAATAATTAATCATATTATAGTTCTTCATTAGTTTATGATATACGGGTCAATTAAGACATTGCGTACGTCGATGAGTGTAATTTGTGTTACATCGAATAATTTATAAACGATATTTCTAAAGATACAAAATATTTATAACTCTTATGAGAAACGTGTTATAGTTAAAGCTAGCATTTCGAATGGAAGCAACCAGTCTACAATATTCATTTTCTACTGTGACCGTTTACTATATAAATGTTTTTAATTTTTTATATCATACTTATATCTGAAAAAAAATATTAGAATTTGTATACTTAATAGGATGATAAAGATAAAACTATTTTATT